CAACGGGGGGGGGGGGGGGGGGAGAGGTTTAGTACCGTACAGTAATTTACTTTTATCAGTAGCAATATAACAATCAGCTATAAATAACGAAACCGATAGATGTTGATGTTACAATGTCACAATCATCACGTTGATGCTGTTCTTGTTCTCTGCTGATGCTCCACGGATCTCCTTTGCAAACTATCCGGATCACTGGCAAAATGTGATTCCGTGTAAACAAATAAACTATAATTGATTTAATGATAAAACTACTTCGGCACTTAAACTACTGCCGTACTGTTAGACCTATATCACTGTAAGACTAAAATACTGTCTAGATCTTACTCACACCTGTACCTAACTTTTTTTTATGGTGGCTCATATATTTTGTAGTTTGGTTTTATTCACACGTGTTTCGTTTACGGCCACTTTCGATCTCGTTTGTGAGAATGAGTGTAGCGGGTTTCTTAACTCACACTGCCCATAGACTCAACACTGGCCATAGACTCAACACTGCCCATAGACTTACACTGCCTATAGACTAACACTACCCATAGACTCAACACTGCCCATAGACTCAACACTGCCCATAGATTAACACTACCCATAGACTCAACACTGCCCATAGACTTACACTACCCATAGACTCAACACTGCCCATAGACTCAACACTGCCCATAGACTTACACTGCCCATAGACTCAACACTGCACCATAGACTCAACACTGCTTATGGATCTTCTTGGTTCTTTCGGTAAAGTCACGTAGAAGGGAAGTAATAAAATAATAAAAATAAAACATAATAAAACAATTCTCACGACGTTTCGGCCACAACGCAAGCAGCCGTCCTCAGGCGAAGAATGAAACACCACCAAGCTTGGAGCGTATATTTAAGCTGGGTTAGAGGGGGGGAGGTGGGAAGAAGAGCGCCTAAACAAAATAATTTGCATATCAAGAGGAATTCAGCATATGGAAAATGCGTAGGAGGTGGGCGGGGGGGGGTCCAAGTATTGATTTGGAACCCCCCCCGCCCACCTCCTACGCATTTTCCGTATGCTGAATTCCTCTTGATATGCAAATTATTTTGTTTAGGCGCTCTTCTTCCCACCTCCCCCCCTCTAACCCAGCTTAAATATACGCTCCAAGCTTGGTGGTGTTTCATTCTTCGCCTGAGGACGGCTGCTTGCGTTGTGGCCGAAACGTCGTGAGAATTGTTTTATTATGTTTTATTTTTATTATTTTATTACTTCCCTTCTACGTGACTTTACCGAAAGAACCACGAAGATGAATCCCTGCAGTCACGAAAGCTTTAAATCGAAACTGCTTATGGACTCAACACTGCCCATAGACTCAACACTACCCATAGACTCAACACTGCCCATAGACTCAACACTGCCCATAGACTAACACTACCCATGGACTAAACACTGCCCATAGACTCAACACTGCCCATAGACTCAACACTGCCCATAGACTTACACTGCCCATAGACTCAACACTGCTTATGGACTCAACACTGCCCATAGACTCAACACTACCCATAGACTCAACACTGCCCATAGACTCAACACTGCCCATAGACTAACACTACCCATGGACTAAACACTGCCCATAGACTCAACACTGCCCATAGACTAACACTACCCATAGACTTACACTGCCCATAGACTCAACACTGCCCATAGATTAACACTACCTATAGACTCAACACTGCCCATAGACTTACACTACCCAGGGACTCAACACTGCCCATAGATTAACACTACCTATAGACTCAACACTGCCCATAGACTAACACTACCCATAGACTCAACACTGCCCATGGACTCAACACTGCCCATAGACTCAACACTGCCCATAGACTCAACACTACCCATAGACTCAACACTACCCATAGTCTCAACACCACCTATAGACTAACACTACCCATAGACTCAACACTGCCCATAGACTAACCACTACCCATAGACTAACACTCCCCATAGACTCAACACTGCCCATAGACTAACACTACCCAGGGACTCAACACTGCCCATAGACTAACACTACCCATAGACTCAACACTGCCCATGGACTCAACACTGCCCATAGACTCAACACTACCCATAGACTCAACACTATCCATAGTCTCAACACTGCCCATAGACTCAACACTACCCATAGACTAACACTACCCATAGACTCAACACTGCCCATAGACTAACACTACCCATAGACTCAACACTGCCCAAAGACTAACACTACCCAGGGAATCAACACTGCCCATAGACTAACACTACCCATGGACTCAACACTGCCCATGGACTCAACACTGCCCATAGACTCAACACTGCCCATAGACTCAACACTATCCATAGTCTCAACACTGCCCATAGACTCAACACTACCCATAGTCTCAACACTACCCATAGACTAAACACTACCCATAGACTAACACTCCCCATAGACTCAACACTACCCATGGACTCAACACTGCCCATAGACTAACAACTATCCAGACTCAACACTGCCCATATACTCAACACTGCACCTACGATTAGCACGGTTGACTTACGTATGGTACTAAAGAAGTTCAACTTACACACACCGGCTAAACTTGACCATGATCCGTGCAAACGAATCAGACGACCGTCCCGCAAAGCGATACGACAATGTTTCGCTCCGGATGATCGCTGCAAAGTATGATCTGTGTTTTGATTTAGTGTGCTGATCTTAAAGGTGAATTGAAAAATGTTGATACTCCGACTGATGCTCCTGCTGTTGTGGAGTGACTCATGCAGCCAGCTATGGCTGCAGAGTTTGGTGGTACGTTGTTAATGTCGTTTATTGTGAAAATTCGGTCACAGTTCCTATGATCACTGTTACATTGCTTTTATGGCTTTATTTTGGTTATTTTCGAAAAGTTTTTTGGTTTGGCCATGTTTGTTTGTTGTAGTACAGAGTTAGAATGATGGCTTTAATCTAAGTTGTCTTGTGGTTGTTGTTGTTTGACTTGCATCCCACTGGGATTTGTGTACACAGCGTTGGTGTACGGTGCTTTTTCTGCAATATTTTGCTGTCTTTTCTTGGATTTTCTGTTTGCACATAGTCACATATTCACTTTAAGATGTTTTCTTGTTCATGTTTTAGTTTTTTGTTTGTTGCGGTTGCACCTGATTCAAGAGCCGAATGGCTCACAGGGCTACACCAAATACATGAACTTGAAAGCAGGAAGTCGGCGCAAGGAATTTGGAATCAGCTGTGCGGGCAGTGCGCGCGCGCTGATTGGCCGTACCAGGCAGCCAATCAGGTGAACGTTGTCCACCCCCCCCCCCCGTGGGCTCACGGGCGATCGTGATTGGTTGGTAGTTTGAGAGTGGGGGAGGAGTCTTGCTGCTCGGTGGTGGGAAAAGCGACGCTCACAACAACGTGCGGAGATTGCCGGGCGGATAAATTACACAGCGGGGGGGGTACAGCTGGATGCATCTACCCGATCATCTCAGTCAGCTGCGTTTGCGCCGAGACCTCCTGTCAGCAGGCGAGGCTTCGACATTTCATGTGATAGCCTCAAAAGTGCACCTAGCCTGGCACAGGCGTTGTGGCGACGTCACCGCCACTTAGTAGCGAATGCCGGATAGTGATATTGTTGTTGGGGAAAACGAACAGGGAGTGGCGGGCGAAGAATGCAACTAAACTATTTTTGTTATTTTACCAGGTCAGGCCCACTGCGCTAAATATAGCTTGGTCGTTTTCGGAAGCAACCTGGTTAAAATGAAATCGCTTATCGTGTGGAAATGTAAAAGCAGCCAAATCCTCTTAAACGCGTGTTTTCTAAATGTGGAGGGAAAAAAAACCGGAGGCCCCGGAGAAAAATCCACACGATCACGGGGAGAGATATGTAAACTCCAAAAATATAAAGGCGTCAGAGGCGGGAGAGTCTCTGTATTTGCCTATGGTGGCAATACGTTCTCAATTAGCTAAATGGCTAATTGAGAATGGTTTTCTAGCCACTACGAAAGGGCTTCAGGAGAGATAGTTCGTGCGATTTTGCTATTCACCCTCCTCCGTTGAAGGTGCGTCGACTGCATTGGTCCATAGTTTGGGCTCCAGGCCACAGTCACACTACTGTGCCTTGTCTGTAATGGTATCGATAAGTTTATATTGGTCTTCATGTGTCTCCATGGATCTTTTCAGATTTTATGGGTTCACTCTAAGGTCTATCTATAGCAGCGGTCGGGAACCTATGGCTCGCGAGCCATATATGGCTCTTCCGGTGACGGCATATGGCTCCCAGACAATTTTGAGTTGGAAAAAATAATAATAAAAAAAGAAAAAATCAGTTTGGAACTGATTTTAAAATACTTGTGATATTGTTTAATAGTACTGTGTCATTTTAAAGTAAACAGAAATTAGTTTTGAAGATAAATTTCACGGGTCATGCCTGCATGAAGCTCAACCTCACCACGTATGAACCAGACTACAAGGCCATCAGCAAAACCATGCAGCACCAGAAGTCGCATTAAAAGTAAGACATATTTAATTTATTATACGTTAAAAATACTATATGGCTCTCAATGAAATATATATAGAAATATTTGGCTTTTATGGCTCTCCCAGTCAAAAAGGTTCCCGACCCCTGGTCTATAGTTTGGCTTGCATGGCCACGGTCGCACAACTGTGGCTTGTCCTTGATTCCCCGCTCATGCGCGCATCTGCTTGTTGATGGTCTGATGCGGGTTAATAGGGGAGGGTGAAAGGGATTTACAGGATGTCCCAACGAAAGTTGCGGCGTTATTGGGTGAAGTCTCCCTACGTGTTGTGTGCGGCTGAATAAAATAACTAAGATTGTTTACTCACGTGTGCTGGACTCCTCTCTGCACGTCTTCACAACAGTAACATCCAAGCATTAGAATAAGCACGACTGAAAACTATATACAGTATATATAAAAACAATTTTTACCGGGGTGAGAGAGAGCTTGCGAGAAAACCACGTGGAATCGATCGCGTCGAGTAATCGTCGACGTTGGAATCGTTTTGGCGGAATCGATTCGTTTGCCAGTGACGTCAGCCGGTCACTCAGCAGCAGCGATGGCCGCAACCACCGGCGTCGCTTTGCTCCGCACCATGCGCCAGGTCATGAGCGCGATGTGCGAGAGTCCAGGATTTGACAACGTGCTCAGAAAGGTGCGACATCGCTCCCATTCTCTCGCTTTCTCTCTCCCCGACAGTGCCACGGCGTTTCCGCTTCTTTAACTTCCGACCGACCCCCCCCCCTACCCCCGTCCCGTTGCCGTCCTCCGCCGGCCAAGGGTTGCCTCGCTCCCGCCCGAGCCGCTATCCGAGGGCCCCACCTGAGGCCTTATACCGGCTCGTGTGCTCAAGTGAACCTGGCTTGAACGGCAAACGCTACCGATAAGAAACATAAATAATAAGCAAATATACGACAATTAAACAAAAGCTAGATAATATTGGTTCTGTAGACTTTCCATAGCAATGTGGAATGACCACCACTTGAATGAAGGAGCGCAGTGGAGATGCAGGCCGTGGCATTGCTCTTATAAGTGTGCACGTGTGTGAGGGTTGACGCGTGCGTGAGGGAGGAAGCGTCGGGGAACATACGCGAGTGAGCGGACACGTGTGTGTACGTGATGGGACACGCGTGTGAGTGAACACGCGTTTGAGTGAACACGCGAGTGAGTGAACACGCGAGTGAGTGAACACGCGAGTGAGTGAACACGCGTTTGAGTGAACACGCGTTTGAGTGAACACGCGTTTGAGTGAACACGCGAGTGAGTGAACACGCGAGTGAGTGAACACGCGAGTGAGTGAACACGCGAGTGAGTGAACACGCGAGTGAGTGAACACGCGAGTGAGTGAACACGCGAGTGAGTGAACACGCGAGTGAGTGAACACGCGAGTGAGTGAACACGCGAGTGAGTGAACACGCGAGTGAGTGAACACGCGAGTGAGTGAACACGCGTGTGAGTGAACACGCGTGTGAGTGAACACGCGTGTGAGTGAACACGCGTGTGAGTGAACACGCGTGTGAGTGAACACGCGTGTGAGTGAACACGCGTGTGAGTGAACACGCGTGTGAGTGAACACGCGTGTGAGTGAACACGCGTGTGAGTGAACACGCGTGTGAGTGAACACGCGTGTGAGTGAACACGCGTGTGAGTGAACACGCGAGTGACTTTGCGTGGGGCCTGGGAGGTCATGGCAGGAGTTGGGGTGGCTAACGTCCCTGTGTGTGAAGGACGCGACCTCGGACTGGGGGCGCTGTAGTTGTCCGCGTGCAGTTTGATGTGTGCCTGTGTGTGCGCCCTATAACTCTTGTGTGTGAGATGGTGTGTTTGTGTGTGTGAGAGATGAGAGCAGTGCGATGTGTTTGAGCTGTACGTGTGTGGAATAGGACTTGAGAGGTGCATATGTGAGGTGTGTGCAGTGTACATGTGTGTAATGTGTGTGCATTGTAAATGCATGTATGGGGTGTGAGTGTATGTAATCGTGTATGCGTGCAATTCAGTGTGTACTGTGTGTGTATTTATGTATGTATGCATGTGTGCAAATGTGCATGTATATAATGTTGAGCTATGTGTGTGACTAGCTGTGTGTTTGAGGTGTGTATGTGTTCGTGTAATTGCGTTGGTGTGTATGTTACTGTAATTGTGCATGTCTGTGTATGCATTGCAATCGTGCGGTGATTGTGCTTATATGGTGCAGAATAGGACATTTGCATACACAGACGAACACAAACCACGAACACAAACCACGCACACACAACCTTCACGTAAAGACACACAATCAATTACAAAAGCCTGCGTAGGCTATATGCGATGTCGCTGGCTTGTTATTGTATGTACTGTATCATCGTGTTTAGGAAAAAGCGATTTGTATGGCTTATAGCGACCTGCAGTGGCGATGAGGTGAACTGCAAACAAATCAGCTGAGATTAACTGATTTGGTGATACGGCGTTGGAAGTGGTACACAAACGCAACAAAAAAAACGAAATATCTTTATAGCACATACACGATAAAGAAGGGTCATTGCCCGAAAGATCAGCTCTTATATATTTTTTTCTTTTAATCTGTTGATGAATTAGAGTTTTGTTGTTGTTGCTAAAATGAATATATTAGAAAGGAATGTGGTTCGTTCAGAGCAGTGGCTCCAAACCTTTCAGCAACTCTCAAACATGTTTCGCGGACCAGCATTAATTACAGAATGCGGTGTTTTGTTTAAAAAAATAATCATACCTGCAACAGTTCTGTTGATGACTTCCCACGGCCTTGTGGGCCACCAGTCATCCGAGGACTACAATCTGCCACCATCCTGGGCAAATACCTTACATTACCTAACCTAAAGCCATCAGTGACCAACCACCAGAGCTCACCCCCGTCTTCTCCCCGCTTCCTTCATAGGCCAGCACCTGGGTCCCTGTGCGCTGCTGGGCCTGGCACAGTTGCACCGCCTGCACACCCTGGTAGCTCTGCCACTGTATATGGTGGCTTGTTACGTTTGTTTTGTGTGCACACCCCTGCAGGTGGAGGTGGTGTCGGCAGAGCCAGGCCACGTGGTTTGCGAGATGCCCGTGTGCGAGGAGCACACGAACCGCGGCGGTACGCTGCACGGCGGTCTCACCGCCACTCTCGTCGACGTGGTCTCCACCACCGCACTGCTCTCCACTGAGCGCGCTGCTCCCGGCGTTAGCGTCGACATGAATATCACGTACGGACGGATCGCACGGACTTGCACACTGAACATCACCTGCAAACATGGAAACTGACTCACAGAGTGAGCATTACGTATGGACAGAGGTTTCTGACTCACACAAGTGAGCCTTTACATATGAATGTGGGGAATTCACTTGAATATCATATATGATCATGGGACATTCGAACAGTGGACATCACAGCTCAACCAGTGATGCAAACGTTAACATCACACATTGATGCATCAACGTTGGAACTGACTTGAACAATACCTACGGAAGGTGGACAACGCATTGACTATCACGTATGAATGTGGGTCACTAAATTGATCGTTGACATCAGTATCACCTGTAAGAATATATCACTGATCTTAACATTACATATGAATCTGAAACAATGACTTGAGTATTATGTATGAACATGAAACGTGAGGATGAGCATGGCATAAAAAGTAACCGTTCTTGTGCATCGTGAAAACTGATGCACGTGCGTGCCCACAGGTACATGAGCGCGGCACGCGTGGGCGAGGAGTTGGTGATCGCCTGCTCACGTCTTACGCCAGGGCCGAACACTCGCCTTCGCCACCGTCGACATCACCAACAAAGCTACCGGCCGCCTTGTGGCTCAGGGCCGGCACACCAAGCACCTGGGCAGCAGCTAGCCCTGATCTCGACCTTAACCCTAACCATAACATTCAATCTGCCCTGGCATTAACCCTACTCTGGCCATAGCCCTGACACTACTATGCCCTGACCTTACCTTTAACAACATCTGAACACATACATAGTACTAATCCACCCCTCGTCGAATCCAGAACAGATGGGCTGAACGAACCAACATCAAAGTCGTCCATGTTATATCCTGTGCCTTCTAGCGTAAATGAGTCGGTTTATGAAACAATGCATCATCCATTTGCTATCGTAAGACGATAGGACATGTGGTGCCTGCAAGTGGATCAACTCTAATTTTTAGCACAGCCACTCAATCGCACAATAATTGTACTGTATATATAACCACGTGTGTTTGTCCATATGTTGGCTCTGAATGAGTTTTGCTTTGACTCGGCAAGCAATGAGTGAACCTTCCTCTGCAGTTTGATGAATCGTCAATCTGTGTTACGATTAGTTTTGTCTAATTTGTGCTGTCTTGTTTGTGCTGTTTGTCTCGTGATACATCTTGTTGCACCTCCAGTTAGCACGCTTGGCTATGTACGATGTGAAAGAAGTTCAACATAATACGTATTTTTTGTTCTGTTAGCCTCAAGGTAATATTACATTTAATTGACATGATCCATACATATTGGATTTCTCTCCACTAATTTTCCCCTCGTGCTGCGAGCCATGTTCTGAATATTGTCACCATATTCAGCAGCAGTACTCAAGCACTGAAAACTGCAGCAGAGCTCTGAAAAAAATCCTCGTGGGAGTTTAGTAACAAATCTTAATTTGAAGCTTTCGTGACTGCAAGGAATCTATACTCTCTTGGTTCTTTCAGTAAAGTCACGTAGATAGAAAAAATAACTAAATAACAATATTAGCATCCAAAATATGTTGATACCACCCGCGATACCGCACTTTGAATACTCATCACACTAATATATTCGGCACGGTTGCGCACACCTGGAATCCAACACTTTGAAGGCAAGGGTTGGGATCACGCAGATTTGTAACACTTGCAAACACACTGGACCGCGAGATTAATTTGTGATTATTTGTGGTGCTTCGAGTGTTATCCCCTCGTGTGTGCGAGTTTCCTCCGAGTACTCTGGTTCGTTCCCTGCCACTCAAATGGAGTTGGCCAAACATCCCAAATGCAGGACCCCTCTCCTGTTGGAAGTCTTGAGACTACATGAGGCTTTCCTGGATTAAGGGCATTATATTTCCACCCATGCAGACCACGTCTGACCCCTCTAGTGTCAAAACTAACCCACAGCAATGCACACTGTTTTGTTCATACTCGTAGCCAGCCCATCGATATACATCCGGAAATGTTTATTACATTACTTGAAACATGGTAATGACGTCGGTTTAATAGAGTTTGATGAGAGTGTGAGGAGGAGCACGTGGAATACTCGGGGGACTGAAACGGGGAATAATATATACTATATACAGTACTTTATAATAAAATATGTAAATTCATACCATGTGTATTGTGGGTTTGTAAATGCTCTGTGGACATACATTGATTGGTGATGCTGCTATCATTTGCAGTGTTGTACTAGCACCATAAAACAACACAATCGCCAACAACCGCTTTAAAATAAAAATATTCGCGACGTTTCGGGCAACGGCCCTTCTTGATAGCATAGAACAACCCCAGCCGTCTTCTTATTGTTTCCCTTTACAAACAAAAAAATGTCAAGAATGACTTTCTACTCAAATAAACATTGAGATGGTGCACGTCTTGTTTACAGCCCTAAGTCAGTGGTGGTAAATTCCACATTCATTTGGCGGGGGCGAGTCTATCCAGGAACAACCACTTTCCTTTAGCGGCAGTGCCATTGACGAATGCGACGAGTTATTTGTGCTCGTGCTCGTGAACCACTGCCAACGCAGTATCACAGTATCACAGTTACTGCTGTTCTATGAAGAGGGGCCATTGCCCTAAAAGTCGTCTATTACTACTGCATATCTGTCAACCCCTTATCAGTGCCAACCTTATTACAGACCAATCCAGACCTTATTGGTCACCACATGCCCCTTATACATCTCAACGTTAATTCTACAAAGACCCATCACAAGTGAGAAACACAACAGACTTTTTTGCTGTTGCCCGTATTAAAACGGCTGTACACCATGTGGACCTGACAACTCAATTTCCCTGTACACAGAATACGGGTAACCCCTATGGATTGACACCTCTGCCACTGTGTGTATAGATTCCTCGGTGTAAAGGTCACGCAGGGGTTATCATCGAGGAATGCCGTGTCCCAAACACCGGTGACGTCATCGGAGGGGGGTGGGGCCGGTGATGGGGACGCGTGTGATTGGTCCATGTGAGGTCACGTGGACATAGCGGCCTATATAAGGCAATGTGCGGGTTACATTTTCGCGGGAACATTAGTAACGCGGTTCGAGTGGCGGGTTTTCATTATCGGAGAGTTCCACGCGTGCTTTTGTTAATCTCCTCACGTCTTCGTCTCCTCGTCTCCTCATCCGCGGGTAAGTAAGCAGCACTAACGAGAACGCGGCTTTGATTCGCGTTGTTAAATGTTCCGCAAAGCGCGGCGGGTTTACGCTCCGAGGCCTGGTGGGTTTGGGCCTATCCCCAAGGTGGCACTGCCTCATCAGAGGCGATACAATATTTAAAACTGATTTAAGTTTAATAAAAAAAAAATAAGTGTGTATTCGGAGCACTGCCTAGTACAGAGCAGCCGCCAACTTAAACTGCATTGAATGTAAATACTCGTTTCGTTGAAAGCGCGTGTAGTTTTGGAGGGAGAATTCATCTCCCGAGCTCGCTTTGTTTTTCCGTAACGAGCGTTGTGGCGAATATTTTTCTAAGTAAACAAACGCAGACGATGCTGTTATTGTAACCATTCTCCACATCGAAGCTCATGCTTACGTTACGTGATTTTACGTCGAAGTGGGATGCGTGTCTAACCTGGTGGTGGGTCCTTGTCTATACATCTGGCATTCGATTTCGGTCCAAGCCTGACTGCTGGTGAGTCGCTGAATGTCGAAACCTTTGTGTGGACGGCTCGTGTATTAGGAAGACGTATCGTCCTTAATGAAACTGAGGACATGATAAGTGGGTAAAACTCCTCACTAAGCAACTGGCCTTCGGTTTGGTTTAACGGCACTGAACCTAAGACCGTTGTTAGCCTGTGTGTTCATGAGGCTGGCTACCCTTAAAGTTGAATCCGGTGGTGGGTGATGAACCTGATCCGTTATAGATTTGAAGCTTTCGTGACTCGCAAGGATTCCTACTCTGTTCTTTTGGTTAAAGTCACGTAGGGTAAAAGAAACAAATAAATTAAATCACGATGTTTCGGAGGCAACACCGAAACAAACAAAGAGTATGAACCTGATCCGGCCCAATCTGTTTCAAAGACAACGCAAATTATCCAGAGTGTGTTGGTTTTGCATGTTCACCACAAGTACGTGTGGTTAATACAGACTTGATTCCTTGCAAAAGGTTTCTATTTGCCGTTTGAACATCTTAACACGTGTTTTTATTGCCATCCGGTTGCTTGTGTGTTTTGTCTTCAGTCTGTGTGTAGGGGAACCGCTGCGGTAACGCCTTGTGCTGAGAGGCGGTGAGGCTGAAGAGGAGGAGGCTGCGGGAAGAAGGAAAGAGACTGCAAAGATGAACACCGGGCGCAGCAGAGTCAATGCCGAGCTGGAGAACAGCAACGTAGGTGTGGTTAAGGTGAGTCCTGCACAAGCGCCCTCGCGTCTTACCTATACACATCCTGGCAGTTCATCAGTGGTTGGTTAAGGCAAGCTTCATGATGCTGATGAAAGATTGAATGTCAAAACCGGACCGGAGTGCTTGTGTTGAACCAATGCTGATGAAAATTGCACTCCTGGAAGGCTGTGACTTCTGGAGATTGTTTGTCATTTGTAAAAGTATTTCTTTTCAAACACTTTCTGGTTGTGAACGTGCAGTCATGCAATTACAATTACCTGTTCTCGACACTGCTTGTGGAGCAACCGTCACTGGATGGGACTCGAGAGAATCCTCCCTTTTAGAGTATTTTGCCTGCTTCTATGCTGGCTTAGACGTCTTTTGAAGAGATGGGAGCACCCACACAACCCCCCACCACACACTACCTGTCAATTAACTAACTGATGCCCATTTATACAACTGGGTGGACAGAGGCGAGACAGCTGAGCACTGGGAGAGATCGAACTGCAAAGCATCAATGCTCAACATACTCCACAATAACTTGTACTTAGAAAGACAATGTATATAATAGGTGACGTTTTGGACAATGGTGCCTCTTAGCAGTACGGAGGCCAGAGAGTAATGACTACCTCACTAGCCTCTGTGTGAAATGAGTTTTTACGGGTTGTAAATTCGGTGTGCATCATTATACCATGGCAGAAACTTCTAGTCTCTTAGAGCGAATTAAAACTTGCACAACCTTGCTGCTCTTGTGAAATGTTTAGCAACATACCATTGTATCAAACATGCAGCGTTGTGTCACCAGCAAAGTTGTACATTACCCAGATATTGGAATAACGTCCCATGTGTTTTTAATGGTTAATTGTGGGCAGTGTAGCAAAATACAATGCTGTACTACATTTCTTTGCTACTATGGCAATGCATCCCACCTTCATCCCAGATGTATTAACATCTGTAGCTTTGTAAAATAACCCCCAAATGATTGCACCGAGTTAAGGCACTCCTCTAGCAGTGGATTGACATAAACGGTTTGACGTGTACAATCCTAGGTATGCAATGATTAACCCAGTGGTTCCATGTATCATTTTAATTTTGAGTAAATTTAATTCCATAATCGGTAGTTTTTTTTTGTATAATCTTGTTTGTGTTCTTGTTTGTCTTTTTGCAGATTTGCGCACCATATTTGCCCAAATTGATTTGCATAATCCATACTATAACTGGGCAGCATGATAACGAATGCGTCATCACTTTGCTGGTTATTGAAGTAGAGGCTGGGATTTCATGAATGAAGCCAGATCTCCTTTGCATAGTCCTTACTCCCTGCTTGGATACCCAGGCCACGTAGCTTGCCTGCCTCGAGCCCGGGGGGGGGGGGGGGGTACCAGGCAGGGAAGTACACCCGCCCAACTTGTGGTTATGGTTCTAGTCTGTACTTTTCACAAACTTGACGAACTTAACATAAATAAATGATAAAAAAAACATATATTTACATTTCATCTGATCGTGTTCATGACGATTGTAACAGATATTATTTAAATTTGGCACTGAATTGGTCTGTTTATGACTCGAAGAATACAAGAACAAATGTTATAACTTTTGCCTCCAAAAGTTACTGCAGGTGGTCGGTTAAGGTAGGCTCCATCTAAATGTTTAAGCTTCTAATTTTCATACTAAACACGATCCCCTTTGTCTTGAACAAAGTAATTTGCCACATGTTAAATACGACTCCAAAGTCGATTAGAGTCCTCTCCTGGTCAGTTTTTAAAAACGATGGAATTAGTTTGCAGTTCGGAAAGTGCTTTTTAAAGGCTAAGGTTAGGCGACCCAGCGACCTCTCCTGCTCGTTTGAGTGCAATTGCCAGCCATAGGAGGTAATGCCCCTGTGAAGTGTTTGTTTTTATATAGGGGGTGCTTGTGGGGGCACTGATGTGATCCAGACAGGTTCCTGTGTTAAGGGTAGTTTGTGACTTTTTAATGCTTTATTTTTTATTTCGGTGTTAACTTTCCCATGCCTCTGCATCCCCGCCTCCCTCCTATCGCCTTGGTTTGCCACTCATTCTGGGTGTCTATGCACCAAAAAATCCTTTTGCTCAAGACGATCCATTTGGGGAACCTCGTTATAAATGAACAAGCGCTTGGATATTTTGGATTTTTAACAAGAGTGCAATCTTCCTGTCATTGGGTAATTCCATAAGAGGCTCTTTAAAAGCTTCTCTCCTTCGATGGTCTCTTACCATGGGTAATCTGTAAAATGTTTGGGTGTAAGTTGTCCTGAGCATTTCAGCAATATCAACTATTGCCAACAAACTTAAGAAAAACCTATTTATTTGTTGTGGTTTAATAGTTTCCCACCTTTGTTTACATAAATTATGATTAGCAGTGACAATTTGATATGAATAATATTTTTCCTCCAGGTGATTGGGATAATGTGAAACCCATTAAATACAACACGTACATCGGGAAGCCTCATTTATGACACGATATAATGTGATCTGAGAGAGTCGAATATTTAATTCTAGTGTATTCTAAGTAGTTATTACTTGTACATGAGGGTTTGGACGTGATTTGATGCCTTATCATTATACACCGCTCGTGTGCAGGTTTTTTGTGCATTCATTGGTGACTGGCTTCAGACTATCGAACAATTAACCCATAAGAACCCAGTTTGCCATAACTCTTGCCATGTATACCTATTCTGTTGTGTCTGTTTGCCAGTCTTAAAATGTTCAGATGTGCTTCCATAGCACTGAACTGCCATTGCTGGTGTACTTATAGGCATTTATTGATGTTAACTCTAAAACCTTTTTCTCATGAACAAAGTTTTAACCGCTTTATCCCCAATAGCCTAGAATACCAGCATATATAGGGGCTATTTGTTTATTGGGCTGTCTTGAATCTGACACATGTGGCTGCCCAGATTTCATACCTAGGGTCTTGGCAGTGGCAGCTTGGGGTTTAAACACTGCCATTGTGAGCAACCTCCCTCCTCTTTGAATGTGTACGTAAAATCACTTGTGTCACCCTGATCGTGGGAACCCAGAGAATCCCTCCAAGGTCGCTCATCTGGCTGTTTGCTCAGCAGTAAGTAGAGCGTGGTGGTGCATGCCTTTAATCCAGCGCTTGAGAGGCAAGAGTTGGTGGATTGCATGGAGATTTGTTAAATGTCCAAACCTGCTGAGCTCTGAGATAGCTCTGAGAGGATGGTACAGCAAATGCTTTCATTAATAAGTGTGTCTGTACAGACGTTTGTGTTATACTGTAAGCTCTGATTTCTGCCCACCTGAAAAACACTAAATTCCTCTTGTACTTTGACGTTATTGCATCTGCATTTAAAAGCCATCCCTTCCTGGTCTATTTTAAGAGGAAATTGGCTTCACTGCTGTGACAAGATGAATCTTATTAATCATAATTGCACGTTATGCCTCTTCTAATGATGTTTATCACTTAACCTTACGTATCATTTTTTTATTACTACTTTCCCCTGATATTGATATGACTTTTTTTACTTTTTCTATTCTAATTAGTTTGATCTTGTTTTCTTTTGTGTTATCTCCAAATGTTATCTTGTTTGTGCAATCAACATTTTATGCGTTGAATTATTTATTAGGCACTATCTGAGCAGTACAGTTCTCAGAACAACATTTGTCTTGTGACATTCAAACCAATTTAACAATGCTAATAGTAATGTTAAGTGCAATTTTTGTGTGTGCTGTTATTGGTGACAACCAGGTTTGGTCATGAGCAGTCAATCTGGATTTGAACCCAGGATCTTAATGAGTTGTGCAACCTTGTACTTTATTGTTTTGATCAATCCTGTATTGTTGCGCTCTAGATTTTTTGAAAAGCACTCTTGTCTGCTTTTAATTATAGGGTATTTATTCTTGGAATTGGCCAATATTCACAATTTGGGGCCATCCAAATAGAATCTTGTCTAGGTGAAGCTTTCCTGAAAGACTTAAATTAGAATAGTTATAAGCTGAGTATTGCTGCCTGCAGGGGTGCCACGGTGACAAGATGTTAACTACCTCACCTGGTATACACGAGGTTGTGGGTTTGATCTTGACCCTGACGTCTGTGCATTTGGAGCTTGCATGTTCTCCTGGTGGTCACGTAGATTTTTGTCCGGGTATTTGGCTGCTATAGATTTCTCTATGATAAACCACTTTGTTGAGCAATCATTTGTGGCCAGGTCGCTTCTGAAAAAGAGCGATGTAGCTTGGTGGGCCTTGGCTGGTGAAATAAAAATGTGTTTAGTGTGAGCGCCCCTCTGGATCTCCGCTGTACCACTCCACGCTGCACCGTGTTTGCTTAGAGATAAATGCTGAGAACGGCGCAAGTGGCACATTCCCACGCGGTTCACCCAAGACGCGCGTAAGAGCCGTGTGTGCTTTGCGTTGCAGCTTTGTCCACCCACTTCCCCCTCCCCGCAGAAAAATTCGGCCCATCGTTATTTACCGTGAATGAATTTCTTTGTTTGGCGTAAAGTGGGCGCTCACCTTGACATGATGTCGTGTTTGGTTTCTCAGGCTTAGATTCTGCTGTCGCGCCAATCCATGTTTATACACTCCAAGTACATGGGTGTCTTTTTATTTAACCGGGTGATGGCTGACTGAGATGCACATCTCTTCAGGTAGTTGGAAAGGGGGAGGTCTCTCACCCTGTTCACACGAGGACTGGTGTAGTGTTCCTTTCAGTTCACTGCGCGAAGTCTGCAACAAAATCATTACGTTGCCATATATAGCAGGTGTTGCCAAAGAGATTTCCAAAATTCTAAATAAGCACAAGATCCAAATCCGATACAGTACACAAGATCCGTGATCTGATCCCATCCTTAAAGGATGTCATTCCTGACTTGCAGTACCCTGGTGTCTACAAACTGAGTTGCACTTGTGGGGATTGTTATAACGGGGAAACGAAACGACATTTCTGATCGCATTCACGAGCACAAGTCTGATTTGGAACATGGCAGGACGAATTCTTCGGCCGTGGCTGACCACTGTAATAATACTGCCGGTTCTCAT